AGTGGTGAGGAATGCCTCAAACCCTACCTTGATAGTGAGGATACAGAGAGACTCCTCCCTGATGTCTTCCTAAGGGACCTGGAGGGAGAGGACAAGTTGTACCAATACCCTTGCTGACATCACATGACATGTGGATTAGTGTAACTTTGCCCACATGAATGACTAATTGAGAAGCACTAAACCAATTGTTAGTTTCTTCAAAACTGCTCTATAGCTAGGTTTTTGTTTTCTGAAAATTAACTGTATTTGGACATATGGTGTTAAAAGAGGAAAATTCAATCAAGATAAATGTGYGGACACCATTGCAATATGATCAGTACTCTCACAACAGAAGGAGTTTGGGGAATGGTTGGGAGCAGGAAGACTATGTAGAGACACAGGGCGGCCAGCCTGTACAAGGCAGGAACACAGGTCTTAGAAGAAACAAGCCCTGCAGACAAGTTGATCTCACACTCCTAGCCTCCAGAATCATGAGAAAATCAATTTGTTTTTAAAGCCACCCTGTTTCTGTCTTACTGTTATGAAAGTTATGAAACTCTTATGAAAGCCCATTCAAACTTGGTGAACTAACACAATATTCTTAGYAGCAGGCGTACTAATCTTTTGAAAATATGGATGAAATTAGAAGGTGATTTTCAACAATTTTGACAAAAAAAATTTTTGTGGATCATGCAATTATGGCTTATTTAGAAAAATATATCAGATTCTTAATACTTTGAAAGCCATGGGAGTCGTGATTCTGAGTTCAGATATGGATGGCCGCTACAGTCAAGGATTCTCAGATGCAGCTGAAGAAGAGACACATACAAGCATTCCCCTGCTACAGGGGCTGGAGGACAAAAGTGGGAAATGGTGTAGCAAACACCAGATGAGCTTGATGAGTGTGTGTTGAAATGAGTAAGAGCCTAACAAATTGAGCAGTGATGAGAAAAAGAGGATGAGGTTTGGGAGGTGGGGTCAGTGCACTGGAGGATCCTGAATTATAGGGTATGGGAAAGGAGAGTGAGCTTGATAGATGAGAAGGAAGACAGTGCCCTGACAGGTAGGGCTTGTGCTCTTTAACAGCAGAGGCACTATCGCAGGTCAGCTTCAAGGTTGTGTTGGTATCTTCTTTTGCACTCAAGCAAAAGGGAAAAAAAGGGAAAAATGTTACTGTTTATTTTCCAGTTGGATAAATTCATCATCTAATGAAGACCATGTGAATCTTTGTTTAGGTCATTTTTTAATTTATGAATTGCCCTCAGCAGGGTTATGATAAGAACACAATATTTGAAAATTTGTAATCACATTTAGTAAATTATTGGTGCTTTTTTTGTTTTGTATTTCTTTGTTTTGTTTCTTTGTTTTTGATTGGGATTGAACACAGGGAAATCATGCCACGGAGCTACATTCCCAGCACTTTTTTATTTTTATTTTTTATGTTTGAGAGCAGGGATTGAGCACAGGGWTGCTTAACCCCTGAGTCCCATCCCCATCCCCAGCCTATTTTGTGGGTTTTTTTTTTTTTTTTTTGTATTTTGAGACAGAATCTCACTTAGTAGTTTAGAGCCTGGATGTTTCTGAGGATGGCATTGAACTTCGGTCTTCCTGCCTGAGCCTCCTGGTGGCTGGTCTTTCAGGTGTGCATTGCTGCACCTGGATTTTTCTCTTTTTTCAGTGGAGGCACAATAACATGCGTGAATTTTAGTCTTCATAATAAAAATTGTAATTCCTCCACAAAATTTAGGATATGTTGATRCATCACTGCACGTGGATTTTTCTCTTTTTTCAGTGGAGGCACAATAATGTGAGTGAATTTTAATCTTACTAATAAAAATCATAATTCCTCCACAAAATGTGTAATATGTTGATGGATACACTACAATTTATAAATATCTCTCTCATATATATGGATCTATAATTAAAACAGAAATATCATAGCTGATGATGGATGGATATTGAATAGGATTTCAAAGGTTTCAACTAGCACATTAACAAATGACCAGACTAATCAAATAGATTTCATCCTGATCCCAGTCATCATCTATGAGCATCATTTCTGAACATCCTTAATATAAATTAATGTGACCAGCCCTGACACTCCCACTAGGACCCAGTACTTAAGCTGATTTGGATAAATGGAACTATAAGGGCTGGATTGGCAGGATGGTGCCATTGATTCCTCAAAATGGAAAGCAACTTGAGTTGATTCATGCTTTCATAATAGAGATCCTGACTTGATTGCTCCTAAATCCAGGAAGAATAGATCTACCTCATGGGTGAGGGAGGGTTGGCAGGGAGTGAGACTCCAAGGGGACACAATTTAACTTAGAGAACCACTGCTAACAAATAGAGCAAAATCAGTGAAATCTGAGAAATTCCACAAGGTTTCCCTAGAAGTGGAAACCAAAGTCTGCATGTTGGTTAAAAAAGTGATGCTTCTTCAAAATCTAAGAGCATTTTATAACTCTGGACCCTTTATCAGGCAATTCATATGTGAAAATCAAGGTTCTCCATATATATGTAAATGCATGTATGGAGGTTTAATTCCTTCATTTTTGTTAGCAATCATGTTCCCATTCTTTTGAATTTTGATCTTGGAATATGAACAGAGTACTGCACCTATAACTCTTGGGCAATCTGAATTTTCCCAGGGTTAGCACTACATTTTAGACAAAAGAATGTCTAGGATTTCATAAGAGAGGAGTCAGGATGTCTTCTAAATGTGCTGAATATCATGCTTTTTCTTCTTCATCCACAGTATTTTCTGAAAACTGTTTGGACTGTGTGTGAATGAAGAGGAAGATTTCAGAAAGCAAAACCATGGCTAAGAATCCATCGGTGGGTGAGCAGTGAATGGCTTTTCTACTAAAATTTTCCCCCTATTGACAGAGATGCTAAGTCTTCAGTGCAAGCAGGAGTTACACCTGTACCCCACAACTCTGCAGCTGTCATCATGGGTCAGGAACTCATCAGCAGGCAGCTGATGTCCTTCCTGTTAGAACACCACTATACCATGGTACCATTCCTGGCTGTGTACTTCCAGAAGGAATGGGTCATATTGAATCTCACATTTTGCCTATGACTCCATTTGAAATAATTGCTGATTAATGATGCTACTTATTGCAATGATGTTTGGATTGTAGTGAATTCAGGTCAGGGAAATGAGTAAGGAGTAGAACCTCACAGCCCAACATGGAGGCAGATATTCTAGCACGTGTATTCTGTTGACCCAGTACCACAGTCATTGAAGTCATACTGAGAAAAAATAAACAACCTAGGCTAGAGAAGGCATGAGAAATATTTTTTTGCAATTTTAAACTTAGAGTTTTATGGAATAAATTTTAACTGTTGATAATCCCCCCCCAAAACCTAAATTAATCATGATCATTTTTATTCCTAATGTTGTTATAACTTATTAATAAAATATTCCTTCATATTTTGTACTGGAAGTTGTTTACACCAAATTATATTAACTTAATTGATGTTTATCATTAAAATATACTAGTAAATCAAAGTAGATATAGCAAATTTTTTGAAGAACTGGATATATAAAAACAATAAAGAAACAGAGAAATGAGATCAAGATATCAGAGAGATTGAAAAGTAGTCTTTGGAGCTCAAGAGAGAATTGAGGATGAGAGTTGTAGTAAGGGATGGTTGCTGGGACTCTGCCTCAGAGTATAAGTCTCACAGACTGTGCCTTGTGCTGCTCAAATGTCTGTCCTTAACCTTATTCTTACCTCCTTGGTCACATTGTGAGAAGAGTGACTCTTCCTACTGACACAAAGTTACAAAAAGTTTGTTCAGTCTTCAAAAATTCTGCAGATTGGTTCAAGAATGTCTGCATTGTTCTGGTTATAGTTTAAACATGTTTTGAAGATATAAAGAAATTCATTGGCCTTTTAAACACATTACTAAATATTTTACTGATGAGGGTTCTAAGATACCTCTTTGTGAAAATGACTATTTTATACGTAATCAATTTCCAAGATGACAAATTAATGTTAAGGTTGGCCTGGTGATAATTCTGGAAAGTTATTTAAATAAATGGGGATTATATTTTAGTTAAAAAGGTTCAAGTGAAAATTTTATAATAGCCTGATTGAAAGTTATTCTTACCAGCCCTAAAATGTTTTTCATGTTGCATGACTCTCTATCATTCCATATTCCTTTACTATAAATTCTATGAATTCAATGTATGTACATTCTGGGTTTCTGAAAGTAAGAATATTGGGAGATGAAAATGAATAGGCTGGTGCTTTAACAGTTTAATCTCCTGCACACCTAGTTTCCCCTCTGCTTCATGCTGTCCTCTCAATCCTTCTTTTGTGAAATTGATCTCATTGCTCTTTCTAATCTAGCTTGTCAATACTGTTCTAGGAATTGATGACCATTGAAGATGTAAGCAAAAGTTTCACCCAAGAAGAGTGGGCCATGCTGGACCCATCTCAGAAAATGCTACACSGATCAGTGATGCTGGAAATCATTAATCATCTGGTATCAGTTGGTGAGTCCATCAATGATATATATGAAAGATGTGAGGGTATACATATTTCTTCAATAACAGTATCTGGAATAGCCTCTCTCTATTCAATTCCAATCTCTATCCTGATTTTCTCATAGAACTTATAATTACATGTAAGAAAGAGGCTATTATTTTTTACTTTAATTACAACTTATTTTACACCACACTACAATATGGTCCACACCATAATGTTATGTATTCACTAAAATTAAATTATACATAGACCTAATATTTATAAATAATTATCCTTATATGGTCAGTGTGCTGGAGGATTGAATACCAAAACAAGAGAATTCTGCACATTTTTTGTGATTATTTGGATTCCATTTGAAAGTAATATCTAGTGGAGAGGTGAAGTACCTGGTTCAGCATTCTTTGAATGTCATCGTGAGCATGGGTGTCCTTCAATCCTCCATAGTATGGGAGCTTTCTATCTTTTCTCTACTAAATAGATTCTCCCAGTTCTTTGGTTCTCTTTATTATTGTTAAGTCATCTTCATGGCCTTGAAACTAATGCACATTTCTTAACAGAAACCCTAAAATCCAATGGCTTTCTTTCACCATGCATAGAGTATCTGTTCTGCAAATCAGATTGGACTTTGTATCTGGAGGAAGGAAAAATCTGTGGATGGGAGAAGGGACAGGGTTGTTCCCAAGCCACAGTGCTTAAGAAACARAGACTTTTGTGATTCTACAGAGATGGTTGCACAGTTATTGAGCTTGGAAATATTAACTGACATAGCTGTGAAATGAATGTGGTTGTCTAAAATATAGTAGGGGATCATGGAACAAAATTTCTCATGTATTGAGATAGCTCATTTTATTTTACACTCAAAATGTTTCCTCTTTATTTATATTTTCATTGAGGGGAAAAACCTGTTAGTGTATTTTTTAGGTCAATTTCTATGTGTCTTTTCCAGATTTTCTCCTTTAAAATATATTTTTAAAAACAATTCTATCTTGAAATCTTTTATATACCAGTGTTCTATTTTTCCAAGATATATAATGTAGAGAATCAGATGTGACTGCATTACTCTTACTGTTCTTGATGGAGTCTGCCTGCAAACGGGATATTCTGTCAAGGTATAGATAGGTAACAGCGGACATGCTTGAAAATGAGGTGTCTGATGTCCTTGGGAGGGCCTACTTGCAAACTAGAGGCTCTTTCAATTTTTAGATAAGGTAACAGCRGACATGCTTGAAAACGAGGTGTCTGCTGTCCTTGGGAGGACTTGCCTGCAAACGGGATGTTCTGCCAAGTGGGCTAGGAGGGCGCTGAGAACAATTTTATTATCTGCTCTTAACAAGAGCAGAGCTCGGCATGCTCCAGGCCGAGAGTAGATTAGCCATGAGAAGCGGGTCACTTCTGATTATAAAGCACAACTTCTGAATTCTATGTTTAATAAGCTGAAAGACCTGATTTATTGCTGTTGGAAGGCTGCCTTCTTTGTTCACAATACTATAAAAAGATTGCTTGTATACAATAAAGAACTTTTTTTCTGCTGCTGCTTTGCTTGCTCTGCTTCTTCTTTCTTTCTCATGCTAACCTGCAAGTGAATTTACTGCAATAATATAATTTTTCTTGATTTAAGCCATAACCTCCATGAAAGTGTCAATGATGAAAAGGACATTCTCGTGAAATTGTTGACTTTTAACTTTGTCTGTCTGAATTTCATACTAACAATTTGTATTTCAAACTCTTCTAGGAATGGAAAGTGCACATCCAAAACATGAAATGATATGCAGAGAAGTTTTGAAAAGAAAGGACACACCTATCAACATGTCAATGGTAAGTTTCAAAGATGGGAACACTGATTATGTAAGTTAAAGATCTGTCTGTGGAATAAATTAGTAACTGAGTACAATTTCATGGCTGTGATTATGTTGAAAATACAAAATTTCTGTGTCAAAACATCTGTATAACTTGCATTCTGGGAGAAATTAAAAAGACTCCAAATACACAAGAATTTCTCATGTAGCTATTCTTTGAAATATTGAAGACCATAAAGTTAATCTGAGCCCCTTTAAATTAAATACTAGCAAATGGAAAATACTTGGCTCACCTGTGAATTATCTACAATGTACATGGAATTAAAAGTAAAAAGATTTACATATTCATGAAATTCTTATGTAGAAAAATTAATTTGTAAATTTATATGGAGATATCATTAAGAAATATTCATCTTCTTTATGAAGCAGAAATCTCATGTTAAAGAGAATTCCTTGGAATGGAAAGTCTTGGAGGAAGATCTATGTCACAGCCCTGCATGTATTCGATCTTGGTTTACACGCCCAGCAAGGAACCACTGGGAGAACAAACACTGTGGACAATCTCTTGCTGATAATGTGCATCTTGGTGAAAACAAGAAAAATGATTGTGTCTCATGTGAAGGGCAAGAATGTTTGAAAGGACATAGGAATTGTTTACTACCTAGAAAATGCAACCAGAATGATCCTGCAGAGATACAATATGAACGTCGTCTATGCAGCAAATCCTTTAATCAATCTTCTGATCTAAGCAGACTCAATGAAACTAGAAGAGGGGAAAAGAAGCATGAATGTGATTTTTCTGAGAAAGTCTTCAGTTACAGCTCTGAGCTTAGACAACATGAGAGAACCCAAATGGGTGAGAAACAAAATAAATGCCATGTGTGTGGGAAAGGCTTTAGGAATTCTTACAAYCTTAAAATGCATGAGAAAGTCCATACTGGAGAGAAACCATACAGATGCCACTGGTGTGAGAAAGCCTTTTGTAAATTATACAGCCTTCAAATGCATGAGAAAATTCACAAAGGAGAGAAACCATACAAATGCCATGTGTGTGGGAAAGCTTTCAGCAAATCAGTTCACGTTACACGTCATCAGATAATCCACACAGGAGAGAAACCATACCAATGTCAACTGTGTGGGAAAGCCTTTGGGCAATCATGCTACCTTAGAATACATGCAAGRATCCACACTGGAGAGAAACCATATCAATGCCAATTTTGTGGGAAATCCTTTGGCCAATCATGCCACCTTAAAATACATGAAAGAATCCACACTGGAGAGAAACCATATCAATGTCAATTATGTGAGAAATCCTTTGGTCAAACGTGCTACCTTAAACTTCATCAGAGGACACACACTGGAGAGAAACCCTATCAATGCCACCTGTGTGGGAAATCCTTCAGTCAATCGTGTTACCTTAAACCACATCAGAGAATCCACACTGGTGAGAAACCATATGAATGCCATGTATGTGGGAAAGCCTTCAGTCTATCATCTGGCCTTAGACACCATGAGAAAACACATATTGGAGACAAACAATACAAATGTCACCTATGTGGAAAAGCTTTCAATACATGCTCTGGCCTGAGACACCATGAGAAAACACATACTGGAGAGAAACCGTACAAATGCCCTGTGTGTGGGAAAGCCTTCAGTCGATCATCTGGCCTCAGAGTTCATGAGAGAACACACACTGGAGCAAAATAACATGAATGCCACCTGTGTAGCATACTCCTTGGCCATCACCCATCATCCTGTCTTATGTCTCTTTATATTCTGTAGGAGTTTGCAGATTTGGGTGTGTTTGTGTTTGGAAAAATGGAACATAGACTCACCTTGGAGTGTGGCCCATTGGAATGTAGTTTGTGTGGAAAGGCTTCTCTTTAAGACTCTAACCTTAGAAAACATGAGCCAGCTAAATGAAGAGAAACCTCATGAGTTGCATCTATGTGGGAAAGGCTTCAGTCAATCTTATTGCCTTAGACTGCATGAGAAATGCACATGAAATCAACTGTGGGAATGTCAGCTCTTTGAGATGTCTAGCCAGTGTTCTGCATGTAGGAACCTATGATGGAGACAAAGTTGAATTCTTGTAGCATATATTATAACCTGGTATTACAAGATATAATAACTAAAATTTTTTCTCTATAATTCACATACTTTTGCTCCTACTCATATTTTTTCTACTACCTGCTAGAGGGCTGAGTCTTTGCTTTAATACAACAGAGTTTTTTGGCATTTTTGCACATATTATTTCACCTAAACAGATGTCCTCTGGTTCCATCCACATGTCTATACCAGTAAGGATTTGTACATTTCAAAATAGGTAGAATAGGGTCTTTGGATGTTCTCACACAATTACATGGTATCACTGAGGAAGCAGATTCACTCAGTGAATAGAGGTGTGTAAATATCAGTTGGTACTCTGCAGATAGGCACGATTATTCTGTCAATCAATAGGTAAAAGAAACAAAGATAGAGGTGGTATGCAAGTTCCCTTCTCTTTATTTATTTTCAATTTACTTTATTACACACTTAAGTTGATTTTATAAATTCAATTCCCTTTGACACAAGTGTGGGTGTTATTCCATAGTTTGATCAACTCATTAATTTCCAGATACATTGCAGCTTCCCACTCATATTTCATAGTCCATATTTATTTCCATTTCAATTATGAATCATTTAGATTTATACCACTGGTTACTGGCTGTTGGTAGTATCAGATGTAAAATCATGAAAGAAGAAACTAAAGTCACAAAATAGATTCAAGAAAAAAAGAAAATGGTTCAATAAGAGTCAAGTCAGAAAGAGTAAAGAAGTCCCTGCTGAAACAATAAAACTTAGAGATCATAAAATGCTGCTCTGATGGCCCAAATGCCCAGAGAGGTTTCTCTCACTGTGAAGCAATGAGCCTCCCATCCCATTTCCTGGAGAACTCTCCAGGAAAGAAGAGTTGGAGGAGGTGGAGAAGACAGCCAGCAGGGTTCCTCGGGTGAGCAAGGACTTGCTCTTCTCCCAGGCTCTGGACTCTTCAGTGCCCCTTCTCTGGGAACATGGGACCTCTGCTTAACTTCCTTTTATTTAGGGTCAATMAGTTTGAAAATCTCATCAGGACCACATTCTAGGGACACAATCTGACTTCACAGACACTGACCCTAACCACGGCTTCAACTTGGAATACACCCTCTCAGGTTGATTGTATTTTCCAGACTACTCTAAAGTGGTTTTCCACACACAGTTGGAGATTAATAAGGGATGGCTACTCTCAAAATGAGAGGCATTCACTTATAAATAGTCCTGTGTGCATCCTGTGGATGGGAGGCATTCTAATGATAGGAATTTGGCCAGGAATTTGGCAGACAGAGGTCCCATGGGCAAAAGGCACAACTGCCTGGCAGAATAGTAGACTTGAAAATGCAATGAAAAATGAATATACAGGAAAGTTTTCAAGAAGAAAATTGCCATGGGCTGGCTGCAGCAAAATAACCGGGGGGTGACGAATAACTTGTGTACTTTGATACAGCAGGAGTGGAAGCCGTTTATTGTAGGACAACAGAGGTATTTATACATTTTGCACAGCTTATCTTAATTA